CTCTTGAAGTAGCTGAAGAGGAAGGACCAGTGCAAGGTGGCAGAAGGGGCAGCCGAAAGCCCTGCATGCAGGTTTCAACAACACTTACACAATCACACAGGAAGAGTTTTAAAAACTCTATTGTCTGGGCCCCATCGCAGGCCACGGGAGCCAAATCTCTGTGGTTGGGGCCTGGCCGTCAGTGTTTGTGTGCATTTCCCAAGGGATTCAGAGGCATGGAGAGCATCGAGAACCACTGTTCTGGGAGACAGAACGTAAACCTGGTTCTCACCTTGTACGGCAACTGGACAAAATAAGGATGAGTGTCTGCTGGATCCTGACCCCCCAACCTCAGGCCTGTGCCCTCTGGTCTGGCCCAGATCCCCCCTACTTTGCTGGCTTGTACTTTCTAAGGAATAGGTGTTTGTTGACTGGCCGTATTCTTTATTCTATATTCCCACTCACCTAAGGTCTTGCGAGCTCTGGCAGAACAGGAAGGAGGTATCGCTGTCACCATGATTAGAGGCCAGAGCAGCACCCTCACTCGTGACAGTGAGGGGCAGCTGATGAAGACAAGCGACTGGAAGTCCGTGACACCTCCCCAAGATCTGAAACTATCAAATGTTAGATCTACTTACCACAGTGGAAGAAATCCACTAATCTAGCTGTTCGGTATCCTGTAGACCAAAATAGGTAAACAAGCCCCAAACAAATCAAATCTGCCTAGTATCAAACACACTGGTATTTGCTTAAACACCAAGCTGGGCTGACTAGGCTCTAACAACACTTCTGGCGAGCACTCAGCTTTCTGACTGTACAACCATCTAAGATAGTTTGTCATCGTATCTCAACTTTGCTACAAGGTGAAGGCCTGTTTATCAAGACCCAAGGCTGGGTCAGAAGTCTGGATGCAGGGCCATGCTTACCCTTCAGTGAAAAGTCAGAAATCAGTCACAGAGTGTTCTGTGACAAAGGCAGGATACAGGGCTATTTAAATAATGGGGCATTCAGCACTGGTGATTAAGATTATAAATCTGGTTAAAGACCAAGAGATTAAAACTGAGTCTGATCAGCCAGCATAAAAATAATTAGTTCTTAAATGTATTAAACAATATACCAAATTGGTAAGATTTCTAGAAATGAGAACAGGTTCTGAAACAGAACCTCTAGGAATACAGTGTAGCCTACAAGCCCCCTAATTGTGAGTGAAGCCAGCTCACTTCATTCATTCATTCATTCATTCATTCACTCATCCATCCATTCTGCCATGGTTCTCAGCACCAAACCTCCCCTCCCTGGAGTGGACTCGCTGGGGCTGTAATTGCATTTGATTGTAATTGTAATTTGTGGGGCGTAATGACGCCTCACTGCCTTTCCTAGATGTGTGAATGGTGCCAAAATATCCTTGGTCTCCTCAACCTAAGACCTGCCGAGGGACTGGACCAGACACTGCTTGTGCGGGCTGCGGACAAGGCCCATCCGCAGGGCAGCTCCTCAGGCAGGAGGAGGCGAGGCTGCCCGAGGTCGTCTGTGTAAACCCCGCTCAGACTCCTAATCCAGGGGCATCAGACTCATTTTCACCGGGGGCCACGTCAGCCTAGTGGTTGCCTTCGAAGGGCTGAATGTAACTTTAGGACTGTATAAATGTAACTACTCCTTAACTAGGGGCAAAGAGCTCAGTGCTGCCACCAGGTAGAAACAAGGTGCCGGGCTGGATACAACCAGGTGGAGGGCCGGATTCGGCGCGAGGGCCTTGTGTTTGCCACCTGTGCCTTGATTGCCTGCTCCGTCCTGCCTGGCTCTTTCTATTAAGGATTGATGTTCCCCCACCTCTGTCTCTCTCTCCATGCCTGCTGTATCCCAGGGACCCTTTCGGCAGGGGCCTTGACACCAAGTGGCCCTTTTTCCTCTAAAATATTAATAATCGTGAGGACCATTTGTCCCAGACTTAGAAGTTTATAAATCTGTTTCACAATGTCTCATTCAGGCTGCTCAGCCATCCTCTGAGGGGCCCTCCCACTGGGCACCAGAAGTGCAAGGTGACTTGCCCAAGGTCAGGCAGTGGGCGAAGGACAGAACTGAGACTTGAACCAGGTCTCCTGACTGCAGACCCCACAGACTTCCATTGTCATAGGCCATCTCTGTGGGACAGAAGTCTGCATCCATGGCAGCTTGTCACAGTACTGATGGGACCCTGGCCCTTGGCCTGTCTCAGGTCTGAGGTCGCTCACTTGGAGAGGACCCAGGGCTAATGAGACCAGGATCCAGATTTGGTTCCACTGCACTTCACTTTGTCCTCTAGCCACTCACCAGCCTGGTCCTGCCCTTAGTCATAAGGTGTCCCAGCCCAGGCTGCGGACCAGGGAAACTGAGTCCAGTGCCAGAAGCAGCACTGGAAGCACCTGTGCTGCTGACGGACGGTCAGTAGCTTTGTCCTTCTGGAAGGACTGGCCACAGCATTGACCACACCCACGACTGCTTTAGACTGGACAACTTGGGCCACCCGCCTTGGACAGAGGGCTCCCTTCTGTCCCTCCTTGGGCCACCCTCCTTCAGATGGGGTCAGAAGTCTGCAGAGCCAAAGGGACAGGCCCACCCAGAGCCCACCCCCCTCTTTTAGGCCACACTCTGGCTGCCCGGGACCCCAAATTCTCTGCCTAAATGCATTCCAGGGCCAGCCCAGGCCTCTGCACCTCATCTGTCATCCTGAGGGTCCACTGAGTTGCTGGTCTGAGTATTGCTACGGCTGAAGGGCAGGGCAGGGCCCCTGAGAACCTCATGGGCAAGGTTCCCAGGGAGAGACAGGACCAGAGATTGGGGGAAAAACGCCAGGGGGTGGGCCAGGACCTCCATCAGCACTCGCCCTGGGTTCCGCAAACATGGGGTGGGCCTGACAAGGGGTGGACGGAGCTTGGCCCTCTAGGTTGTTTTCTCCCAGAGTTGAGGGCCTAGTGGCAAATGGGAAATGGGTAGGGTCTGGTTGCTAGGAAAACTGAGCCTACTCAGCAAAAATGGGGCCACTCCTAGGCCAGAGGTGAGGCTCGGAGAGAACCAGGCCTCCCACTGGGGCTGACCACCCCTGCGGACTCACAGTCACCTGGTGCAAACCCCACCCCTCCCCTCTGAGGGCCTGGCACAGCCCAGACATCCTGTCACCAAGTGGGGTGGGGGTGGGGTAGTGGGGGGCTGTCAGAATTCCCAGGAATGCCTTTTCAAATCAAGCACATGGTAGTTGAGGTGCCCAAGAGAAGGCAGGTGTCCTGTCCTGTTTTTTCTCCTCCCTGCAAACTGCCCGGGGTTGGGGGTTGGGGGGTGGGGGGTGGGGCGGTGATCAGCAGGGAAGGCAAGCTATAGACAGGTCAATGAAAAATAGACATGGAGGACTGGCTGAGGGCCCTGGGGATTAGCTAACTAATTAATCCCCACAGCAGTTTGACGAGGAACTAATTAATCCACTAAGCGCTTTGAGGGGCCACTGCCTGGCCAAGTGCAGGGAGAGGCTGCAATGACCTCAGGAGGTGACGCTGGGAGTGGACCTTGTCAGTGGCCTCTAGGAGGACCAGTGTGAGGACCCTGCCTCAGAGCCGTGGCTCCTTTGCATCAGAAGTCTGCTCTCCAGCTGTCAATCGTACTCTCTCCAGAAAAACAGGGACAAGGAACTCTGTGGAAAGGCCTCCAGCTTCTTGAAGAATCTGCCAAAGAAGTGTGGAGGCTTGAACGGTTTGTCTGGGAAAGGCCCTCAGAGACCCAGTGTACAGCTGGAGAGTCAAGTTTACACATCACCCTGGCTCACGGTTAAGGTTAAATCTCTCTACTCAGCACCCAGGCCAGGGGTGTCTCTGTAGGTGCTGACTTCAACTCCTCCTGGGGTCTCAGCAGGTGTCAAAAGTCTTTCTAAAATCAAATCAATGTGGTATGATTAAGAGGCTTGTTTTATCTTTATGTGATTTGTCATGTGCTCTGGTTACTAATTCCGGACAGGTCTCAACATATCCAGGTGGGCTGCCGAGTAGACCTAGATGGCTCCTGCCATTCGCTTCTCTGACGCTCTCTCTAATCTCATCTGCCCCTGAAGCCCAGTCTGCCTCCTGTTACAACTAATCTCCAAGAATAATCTGGTAGCAACCATCTGGGAGTGTCAATGGCCCTTACCTTTCTCAGAAAAACTTTCTGCTTAGATTCTTCTTTCTCATTACGAACCAGAGAGATTTTTAATACCAGGTGGCACGCTCTTGGAAATTTGGGAACAGCCATGGCTAGAACCACAGATGAAATTGTAAGGTAAACTGTGGCTAGACAGTCGGCACGCTGAGTGGGAGCCATGCCATCGACAATTCACGGGATAAACAAGGGTTGCGTGCCAGACTGGCTTCCAGGTGCCAAGGACGTAGGGTGAGGACAACATGATTCCACGCCCATGAGGGGCCCTGGTCTAGCAGAAGGGATGGAAGGGGCAACAGTTGAGCAGAAGTTGCCCCTCAAGAGAGGTGACTCAAATGGCAGAGTACTGTCAGGCCACCATGAACCCAAACCCCACCCTCCAGAATAAGATCAGCCAGGGCACGGCCTGGGGTTGAGAGCAGGCACAGCTTGCGGAGCTGCCTCGAGGGATTGGTATGGGATCCCCAAACTCCACATCATCGGCATAACAGAGAGGGCTTCTTAATATACATATTGCAGGGCCCCACCCTGGCGTGTCTGGTTCAGTAGGTGGGGGTGTGATAGTTTGTCTGTGTAACATGTTCCTAGATGATGCTGAGGCTGTGGGGTCCAGGGACCACACTCTGAACACCACTGTGCCTGAGGTTCTGATCCACCCAAGTACACCAGAGAGGGGCTGTCCCCACCAGGACCTCTGGCCCCATGATGGCCACCGGGCCCAGCCAAGCATGCCATTCCCTTCATCCCTCACCAGACTTTGATTTTCGTGCTGCTGTGAATGTCTGTCTGCCTGTCTGTCTGTCTGTCTGTCTGTCTGCTTTGGAGTGGTCTCTCTACTTTGCATTTGTTTTTCCATGTAGAGTGAAATGGACGAGAACCAAATCCAGATGGCTGGAGATGAAGTGGATTTGCCTGAAGATCTCCGGAAAATGGTGGATGAAGATCAAGAAGAGGAAGAAGACAAGGATTCTATCCTTGGGCAGTTACAGAATCTTCAGAACATGGACTTGGACACCATAAAAGAAAAGGCCCAGGCCACCTTCACGGAGATCAAGCAGACGGCAGAGCAGAAATGTTCCGTGATGTGAGCGGTGGGCTGGGGGCCGACTTGGAGGCCAGGGCCAGGCGGAGGGGACCCTCTCCTATGGAACGTTTCTGAGCAGCATATACTTGGACATAGTGAAGAGAGTCAGAAAAACCATGATGACAAAACTCTTTCCAAGCACATACACAACAAGGTGATATTCTAACTGTTCCTGGTAGAAAGTTTAGCTAGCGCCTGGCAGCAGAAAATGATACTTTTCTTTTTTGTTGTAAATGTGGTGAAGCATGGAATTTCAGCTGTGAACAATGCAGAACACTTATCTGTGTCAAGATCTTCAGCACAGCCAGAAAGCAACAAAAGCCAATGGGGTTTCCTCTTTGACTTCCTCCCTTAGAAGGTAAGGCCTCAGCTTGTCCAGCCTTTAGCACGACTCCAGGTCCCTTCAGAGGAAGATGTGGGAGGTCCCACTGCCACCAGGAGCTCAGGCTGCAGACTTATCAGCAAGCAAAGATCACACCACGTCTTACTCCCAGGCTCCTTGACATTGCTGATGCCTCGCACCCATTGTGGCCCTTGGACAGTTGGAAGCCAAGGGCCAGTGGTAGGGATGGGCTAAAAGATAAGCAATGAAGGCAGAGGACAGACTTCAGTAGCCCTTAGTCTTTGTAGAGACTGTGTGAAGAGTGGACTTGGGGTGAAACAAGAAGCAGAGGGGCAACCTAGAAGGTCATGGCCGTTTCCCCATTGAGCGTTCTCTCCTCTGGTCTGAACTTGGTGAGAGCCGTGGGAGCAGGGGGCTGGAAACCTAGAGAAATTCCGTCAGTCTCTCTTTCTCTCTCTGCCCTCCCTCTCTCTCATTCTTTTCTTTCCCCCTCTCCCTACCTCGCCTTCTTCATTTTCCTCTCCCATCCCGCCCCTTCAGACTAGTGTCCAATAAGTCATTCTGTCATTTGGTCCCACAGTCTCCCAGGGTACACAGATTTCCTTTTCTTAGCAGTTGCTCTCTTTCAAAGGGGATTGTCCAAAAGACTTAGAACATTTACCTCTGAAACACTGAGGGCCATTTAATCAAAGCCAATGCATGTTCATAAAATAGATAATCCTCGAAGACAGATTTTATCAAAAACTGCTGTTGGAGGAAAGGGAGCTAAAACCAGAAAGTTAGGGACTGACCTGCTCCACACCCAGAGCCCCTGAGTATGTTGTATAGGGAGTTTCATGATACAAAAATATGCACATAAAACAAATGATTAGGGGTCCAGACCCACCCATCTCCAGACTTTTCCTTCTCCCCCAGCTGAAATTCTGTACTCATTAAACACTAACTCTCCATTTCTTCTTTTCCCAGCCTGGCAACCACCATTCTACTTTCAGACTCTGAACTTTTTAAATTTAATCTTTGTCATATTTTTTCCATTACCATTTAGTGCCCTCATACCTCTCTCCCCCCAGCAATTACCACACTGTTGTCCATGGCCATGAGTTCTTTTTCCTTTTCGCTCATCCCTCCACCCCCAGCCACTCCCCACTAGCCGTCATCTGGGCTCCATCAATGAGTCTGTCTCTGTTTAGCTTGTTAGTTCAATTTGTTCATTAGATTCCACATATGAGTGAAATCATATGGCATTTGTCTTTCTCTGACTGGTTTATTTCACTTAGCGTAATACTCTCCAGGTCCATCCATGCTGTGGCAAAGGGTAAAATTTTCTTCTTTTTTATGGCAGATCAGTATTACATTGTGAAATGTCCCACAGTTGTTTTATCCACTCATCTACCAATGGACACTTGAGCTGCTCTCATGTCTTGGTGATTGTAAATAATGCTGCAATGAACATAAGGGTGATTTTGTTCTTTTGAATTAGTGTTTTGGGTCCCTTCAGATACATTCCCAGAAGTGGGATCACTGGGTCAAAAGGCAGTTTCATTTCTAGTTTTTTGAGGTGTCTCCATGCTGCTTTCCACAGTGGCTGCACCAGTCTGCGTTCCCACCAACAGTGTAAAAGGGTTCCCTTTTCTCCACATCCTCGCCAGCACTTTTTGTTTGTTGATTTATTGATGACAGCCATTCTAACCGGTGTGAGATGGTATCTCACTGTGGTTTGAATTTGCATTCTCCGATGGTTAGTGATATTGGGCCTCTTTTCACGTGTCTATTGGCCCTCTGTATGTCCTCTTTGGGGAAGTGTCTGTTCAGGTCTTTTGCCTATTTTTTCTGAGATCAGAGGAGATAGGGCGCGTTCAGAATGGAATGGCCGTAGACAACCCTCCCTGCCCATTTTTAATTGGGTTGTTTCTTATTTTGGTGTTGAGTTTTATAAGTTTACTCTCTGAATTTGACTACTGTAGGAACCCCTATAAGTGATGTTACATAATTTGTCCTTTTATGCCTAGCTTATTTCACTTAGCATAATGTCCTCAAGGTTCGTATCTGCTGTAGACTGAGTCATCATTTCCTTCCTTTCTGAGGCTGAATAATATTTCACCGGATGTATATACCGCACTTATTTATCCAGTCATCCATCCATAAACTCTTGGGTTGCTTCTACTTGTTGAGTATTGTGAATAATGCTACTGTGAACATGAATATACAAATATCTATTCTAGGCCCTAGCCAGGTAGCTCATTTGGTTAGAGCATTGTCAGAATACACTGAGGTTGTGGGTTCAATCCCCAGTCAGGACACATACACAAATCAACCAATAAATGCAGAAATAAATGGAACAAATACCTCTCCTTCTCTCTCTCCCTTTCTCCCAAATCAATAAATACAAAAGTTTTGAAAATGTCTATTCTAGTCCCTGCTTTCAATTTTTTTCAGTGAAATTGGGTGGAACTTCACTCAGAAGTGGAATTGCCAGATCATCCTTAGGTTTTTGTCTACATCAGAAATAACAGTTTAAATAGAAAATAATATTGAATATAAAGCTATCATTGAAAAATAAAATTTAAATATATATAAAATTAGAAATATGCAAACATTTGAATATAAACTTCCACGGTAGCACTAAGTCCAAAAGATATCACAATGGCACCCTGACCGGTGTGGCTTCGTTGGTTGGGCATCATCCCCCAAACTGAAAGGTCGTTAGTTCAAGTCCCAGTCAGGGCACATGCTTGCGTGTGGGTTTGCTGCCCAGCTGGGGTATGTACAAGAGGCAACTGATCTTCTGTAACTCACTGAGGTATAATTTACATTTTACTTGCTTTTCTCTATGTGTGTGAGCCTTCACAATAAATAAATTGTACATTTTTTTAAAAGAGTAGTTTGGGGAGCTATAAAAATTATGTTTGGAGAATGTGATAAAATTGGGTATCATACAAATTAAATTCAGATTCAAAACTCTTGTCATTTTTTGCTTTTCGATAAAACCTTTCATCCAGGAAAAATTCCAAAGCTTACCAAAAGTAGAAATATAAATCAGCAAATCCCCATGCATCCAAGGTTAGGCCTACAGAGCTGCTATCCTCAGAAAACTACACTTATTGTTACAACTTCATCTATGAACTAACTGCATCATTTTTTGGATGGTGTCTAATTCCTGGAGCTACAGAAAGATAGCAGGTATGTACCAAGGGACGCTTGCTTGTTTCCTTATGTCCTTTCAGAAAAGCTTTAAAGATTTCCAAGCTGTATTTCTTTAAAACTCACTCCCTTAACTTACCCTGCAGCATGTGGTAAGCTCCTGACACCAGAGTGAAGACCCTTCATGGGAGCATCCTGAAAACCTTACTGAAAGCATCTGGTGTTTAAAGGGGGCTAATTGGTTTGGTCAGGACATAGAAGATCTGCACTTTTAGGGATTAAGGGGTCAACGGAGAAAGTACAGTAAAAATGGACAAATAGATGTCCATAAAATTGCTGTCAACTGTAAAAGTAGACTAAAGCTATTAGGCCGCAGTAGAGTTGCAGGAGCCACTTTGGATAAAGAATGGAGTTCTTTAGGACCTTGCATCCCACTCAGAGAGCAGAGGGCGGGTCTGAGGGCACTGGGCTCTTGGCTCCACCCACACTCCCATCATGCTGAGAGGAACAAGACTGGGGTAGGTGGAACTGGCTTTGGAAAACAAAATGATTTCTGTGGACAATTTGGGAAGGAGAGCAAAGCAGTTTGACATCTTTCAAACATCTGGAAAACAATATTGTAGAAAAACTCCCAAAAACTGATGATAAGAATGTGGGGGAAAAAAATGTACACTTGTGCTAATTAACAGCTTAAGAAATTAGACAAGTTACTTAACTTGTCTCCTCACCTATAAAATAGAGTTCCTTGCAGTTATTCATGAAACCAACCACCACTCTGCGCAACATATATTCTGGATGCCAATAGAAAAATTCTCATTCTCATGCAGCTTAGATTCTAGTGAGGATATAATAGATGAGTAACAAACAATTAAACCAATAATAATAAACTAGTTTTGGAGAGTGGAAGGTGCTGTGAGAAAAAGAAAACGACAGTAAGGGTCATGTGGCCTTTTTGGGGGGGTGGGCATTTCAGGCAGTGAGGATAGTCTGCAAAGGTCCTGGGGCAGGAAAAGCCCTGGAGGATTTCAGGGAGAGGAAAGAGGCCAATGCGGCTGTAGCTCAGTGAGCAAGTTGGGGAAGATTGGAGAGTAGCCAGAAGTGTCCGATGAGGCTCTTTGAGAAACGGGGAAGGGGTGAATCTTACAGAACAGAGCACTGAGTTTGAATCTTACCCCAAGTGTACCAGTAGGCCTTTGGAGGGTATGGGGCGGGGAGTGGCATGATCTGATTTGTGTGTTTGAAAGGTTATCTGGCTGCTGAGTGGAAAGTGGGGAGTAGGGAGCTAAGAGTAGCAGGCAAGAGACCAGTTAGAGGCTAATTCAGTAATCTGTCTGAGCGAGATGGGACGATGGCCTGCAATGTGGAGGAGACAGAGAAGAGTGTCCAGATATGAGAAATACCCCAGAAAGACAGCCAAAGGGGTGTCCTGAATGTGGGTGGTATGGGGAAGGGAGCATTGTAATAATATGGACCCCATAGGGTACTGTGAAAATGAGAATTGGCTTCCTGATGAGTTTTTTTTCCCAAAAAAATAGTAAATGAAGAGAGAAGAATCTTGAAGACGGCCAAACTGTGGGTGGGGGTCAGGTCGAGGCTGTTGTAAAGTGGGCATCCCCGGATTTGTCTCCTTAGCCCTGTGGGAGGATTGACTGGCTTCCAACCACCGTCCCCTCAGGATGAATGTCTCTTGTGCTTCCCCTGGACACTCTGAATTAAATTAGTTTAACTAGGAAACGTATAGAATTATCTTAACATAGCTATGCCCCTAGCAACTCAGGGTTAAAAAAAAAAAGCCCATTTTCTTGGCAGGAACTTGAGTTTCTCTTTTTTATTTACATATTCTGAGATAAGGATGTAAATGTTCTCTTTTTTGGCAAAAAGCTAGACAAACATCTCTTATCCAATAGATCATGTTAGTTTTAATAATACTACTTTCTGATTTCTTTCCTCTTGAATGGTATGCTACTAAATATTTAAAAGCCACTCATGGGGGGAGGAGGGAGAATGCCTGGATTTTTAGAGTTTGCCGATTTCTGGGGGAGAAATCATCCCACTGGGGTGGACTGCAAGCTACTAACATGACATCACTGAGTTCAGAGCTGGGAAGAGAGGCTAACCATCGGCTCTCACATCCAGTCCAGAGGAATATCAGTTGTTTGCCAACGAGCCATGCGAATCTATTGCCAACGGATCCTGTGTTTCCTACATAGGCTACTTGGATTCTGGCATCAGCTGCAACAGCAAGCTCAGGGCTATGGGAATCGCGTTGGGAAGTGACTGGGGAGTCAGAAGAAGAGTAACTTCATTGTTTCTGTACAAGAAATGCATTCCTCCAGGTCCACGCAGACTTACCCTGAGTCCCGGTATGGGACATCCCAGTGTAGGACCAGATAGCTCAGCACGGGCTGGTGAAGGCACAGCGGCCGAAGGGGGAGTAGGGAGTCCAAGACCTGCTGCAGAGCCTCTGTTCGTCTTGGGCGAAACTGTTAGTCTCTCGGGGCTCCCATTTCCACATTGATTAAGAAAAGGTGGGAACTGGAAGTGAGAGACCCGACACCATAATCACCAAGTTTGCCCCTTCTAAGCCCTCAACACGTGCTTCTCTAAAATAACAGAAAACTAAGTTAAGATTCGTTTTTTGCTGTTGTTCCCTAGAGTATCGTAATTGGGAAGCCATGAGAATGTCAGAGGAGGAGATGCCTCTTGCTAATTAGTGGCCCCTGCTCTTACACAAAAGGAAGTCTCTCAAACAGAGTTTGACGCTGGGAAGCACAACAGCTTCCAGCTGCCCTCGGTCTCATCTTATAATCAGATGAGATGTCTGTTTCCACGAGCTCGTCCGAGAGAGTTCTCCGCTCGGCCAGAAATGCCTACCTAGGCCCATCTTCTCACGGATCCGTGTATTTTAGCCACAGCGATATGATGGGGTTATTATTCACTGCAGTCTCCTTATGTTGACACTTCAGTTGAGGCTGAAAATACTAGAGAATATTCAGATTGTCACAGTGACTCGTAAACTGGTGTATACAAAACGTGTATTGGCACCTTTGTGCCAATTTTATAAATGTGACCAAGGATGTTCATTATTAGTTGTCTGTATGTAAAAATGGCATTTCCTATCAGCATCTCAAGAATATTTTCTTGATATAGCTTCTGTGGTCCTTCAAGCAGGAAAATATTTCATTGCTTTGGAATATGGTGTAGTGAGAGATGACGAAGCATATTTTATCCCTGAGTTTTAAAGAGAGGGTTTAGTTATTGATTTTTTTCTGCAACCATGATCAGCCTCACATGTATCTTGTTTGTGGCATACAGTATACAGTATAGTATAAGGGGAAATTCATAGCATCCAAGGCAGACAAACTAAATGACATGCGTAGGGGCTTCCGAATATATTGTTTATGAATCCCTGACAGTGAAGAAACTCTGGGGACAGAGAGAGAATTCCCTAAACTTTGTAAGATCAGCTTGGGGATTAAATGGTACTCTTAATTTACCTTTAAGCATACCTGCCATGATCATAATTGGCCAAATAAATTATAGACTGCCCATCATACTTTGTCTAATACATCACTCAAAACCTAACCCTGTTAGGTTTCATTCCTGAATCTTTTGACTCCCACATTTTCTTACTTTATCTGCTAGTTCTCTTATAGCCACATAAGAATTAATAGTGTGGATTATACCACATTGGGAGGTCATACGCATAGTGGGTAGATGGATGCTTTCCTGGAAAAACACCTGGGTTCAAGTCCCGGCTCCAGCTGTGCAACCTTCGGCAAATGCCTTAACCTCTCTGTGTCTCAGACGCCTTACCTGAGCCAAGATAACAGTGTCTACCTCACAGGGTTACTGTGAGGACTAACTAGGTAATCCATGTGAAGCACTGGAAAGAGCGCCTGCTGGCACAGAGTTAGTGTTCTACAGATAGTAACTGTTAAGTAGTGTTGGTAACTCTAGAAAATGGCATTTGTTGAACGTCAGTATGTGTGTGTGTGTAATGATTAGGTGAGTTATGTTTTGCTTTGGCTAAAACTGAGGTTAAGCTGCTTTTCCTGGATGAGCACGGATCAGTAGTAGGAGGCAATGGCCCCCTGGAGTTGGGTGAGAGCGGTGGACGTACTCCAGGATTCAGGTCCACCCACTAAGGGGATGGGCTACATGCAGGTGGTCAAGTCGTTTCATACGCTTTATGAAGTGACATCCCACAGGCCCTTCAATGGACATTTTTTCACCCAAGCCCAAAACATCCCCTCAAGGCTGGAGTCAATAGGCATGAACTCACTTGGTGACCATGGTGCCTGCCCACTCAGTGCTCAGGAAACCCTATAGATGCCCATTTCTCTCCAGAGCACCGTGGGTGAGGCAGTCTGCCCAGAATAGGCCCAGAAATGGGATCTCCTGCATCCAGCCAAGGGGAAAGAGCCAGTTGGAGCTACGACGCCACCTGATCAGATTTCGTTTTGCTGGAACTAGCCAGTCTCTATCTCCTTTCTCCCCAAAATCTCTCTCCCAACTTTAATGGTCTGCCTTGTCCTTCCCACGTCACACAGAGCCTCCCTCTCTTAGAAACCCCCCCATGCCCCAGTCACCTTCCTCTCCTCTCCAACTCACTGGAAATGCTTCTCTGAACCATGCCTGGTCTGAAGGGGCTCGAGCTATGTCTCAGTTCAGCCCCTATTGGGGTGAGTGGGAGAGGGAGTTTTCTTTGATCCACCTAATGAATTAATGAATTAAACAGAGGTGGAGTTCAGAAGCCAGGCTCCTTACTTTTGCTGAAGCTGGGCTGATTGTGAGCTGGCGTAAATGCTGGAAAATTGCCGCTTGGTGCTAGAAGAATTAGGGACAAGGGCGAGTCCATTCATCTTCCCTAATCGAGTTCTTGGGAAATACACATGTAGATTAGCCCCTAACAATGACCCCCGGCTGATTGCTTGGAGTACCCTCCACGGTGCCCACAATGGTACTGACTAGCTCTTTATGTCGCTCACAAAGGAAGCCCCAACCTCCCCTTGGCCGGCTTTGCCCTGTTCCCCCCACCCAGTCCATCACCAGTGGCTGCTGAGGTCTTTTCTGCATTCCCCCTGTCTGCACCCCACCCCAGACTCTGAAATAAACAATAAATAAAAGCTAACCTCACCTGGACCTATTAGGAGGAGCTGCTGGGCAGTTTCAGAGGGAATTAACTTTGGAAAACAAGGCCCTAAGCCCCTTAGCGTGTGGGCAGGAGCTTAAGGAAATGCTCGCTGCCAATCTTTACTTAGCGGTAATTATAGAGATCAATGTAATATTGGGCAAGATTACATAAAAAGCATTCTCGGTCAGAGAGGAGACAGCAAACACCAAGTAATTGTCCTGAAGGCTGCCCTCTGGTCACCCAGGCGTCCACATTCCAGCTACCTGGAGAATGTGACTGGTAGAGGGCCATTGTGGGGTGCCCCAGGCTGATGCGGCAGCCCCTTTGCCAGACCATGAAGTCTGAGCAGAGCTCAGGGCAGGCTGCTTCACCTGGATTCTGGAGGGAACCTCTTCAGTCCTCCTGGACAGCCACAGGCCTCTCTGTATGGATTCTGACTTCATTTCTTTCTACCATAGCCTCTTAGATGTCGCTCTCCCAGACACCTGTAGGCTAAGCTGTGCTTTGATTCTTTTTTAACACATTGCCCTCTACAATAATTACTGCCAATGAGCTGCAGCCAGAAAATAGGAGGAGACAAGGCGTCAGTAGGTCTGAGTTCTAGTCCTGACCCCTCCACTTAGTAGCTGTCTGTGTCACTTTGAGCTCAGTTTGCCCTTCTGTGAAATGAGGACGAATACATCTGCCCTGCTCACCTCCCTGGGGTGTGGGGGTAAAGAGATGGGAAGAATGTCAACGGATTGTGAAAAATATAAAGTGATCTGCAAGGACTAGAAAGCATGTACTGATTTTCATTAATTTTCCTTGATTCAGTAGCTCAGTTTCTGTGTGCTTCTGACTCACATGTTTGCCGTTTTAACTTAACCTCTTTATGGTCGCGTTAAAAAGAAAGCGATTTGTGTAATTGCCCCTCATTTGCCCATTTAATGATCCTTAGCATAGTCACGTGTCCTTGTCAACGTCCTTCTAGCGTCAGTTCAAAGGCGGAGGATCCACACACAGGTGGTTTTCTCTTCTTCTGTCTTGTCTTCCAGGCTGGACCTTAAGCTCCCCAAGGCCAGCGGCCCTGGCCTTTCCTTCCCTTTGCGGGGCTGACGCGGCCTACGTCAGAGCTGGGCCCTCAGAAAGAACGCACGAAACGCTTGTCTTAAAGCAAAGAGCAATAAACAAACTGGGGGCGGCGGCGGGGGGGGCGCCCCTACGTGGAGATCAAGGTGCCTGCTGCAAAGATTTAAAGACTCTCTGGGTCCTTTCTAGTAAGTCCTGGACTTTTCCTGAAGCATTTAAGTTCAGCGAAGGTCGGGCTCCCTTCTTGGTCTGGGTCTCAGATTTGAGAAATGCCAGTAGTCACAGCACCGGGAGATGTCGCGGGGGTGGGGGGGGACACTCCCCTCCCCACAGAAATTGTCTTTGTACTTGGCCTCTGAGTCACTCTGGGCCACCGGAAGCCTTGATGGCCCACCCGCCTCCAAAGGGGAAAGAAATGCAAGCGCCCTCCCCGGAGAAGCTGGAGGCATCCCCGACCCCCAAGATCCTTCGCCTCTGGGCCAGAGGTGGGGTCATCTCCTCCGCCTGGAGAACTGGTCGGTGGGGAGGGTTCCGCAGAACACGGGCCGAGACAGGGAGGAACCCTAGCGGGTCTCTCTCCGGGCCCGGGCCCAGCAGCTCGTCCTACTCGGGGCCTCCCAGCCTCCTGCTGGGCCGCTGGGCAATTGAAGCCCCCGGACCAGCGGGCACAGATGGCCCCACCGCCTCCAGGGCCCGGCACTGGAGAGAGGGAGCCAGCGGGCGCGCCAGTCCGAGGGGGCAGACAAGGGCAGTTGAAACACAAGGACAAACAAAATGAACCCGAAGTCGGGTGGGACTACGGAGCCCAAAGGGAATTTTTTGCCCGAGCAGGTAAAAAGAGGGAATACAGGAAAATTCAAACTGAAACGATGCGCGGAACTGAATTCCAACGCCGGGAAGCCAGAGGCGTTTCGAAGGGTCGCCCCGGACGCTAAGCCCGGCGGAGGAGGAGAGTCTAAGGGCCGAGGCGAGTCTGGGGCGGGGGAGATGAAGGGGCCGGTGAGCCCCAGGAGGGTGGCAAGTCGCGGGGTGGGGAGGGAGACGAGACCAGGGGCGTCGGCCCCAGTGAGTCAGGACTGGGGGCGCCGACTCCCAGACGCCGGTCCCCAGGCCTGTCAAACATCCCGCCGCCTGTCCCCGGCGTTCGCAGTGTTTGGAGCGGATCGACAGGTGGAAGACGGAAGGTTCCGAGTGCCGCCCTCGCCCGGGGTCTGGGGCAGGGAAAGATCCGCCCTGCGGCGGGGGTGGGGGAGGGGCTGGGTCCTGAGCCAGAGGGGAGGAGCCGGGGCAGCGGGCTCGCGGGCTTTTGCGCCCTGAGACCCAGCTCCCAGGAGTCGCACCTTCCGACTCCGGCAGCGACCCAGGCGGCCGCCGTCCGAGCGTTCGCCCACTTCCAGCGCGCGAAGTTCCACCAGCGTTGCCCGCCGAGCTTGACCTTGGATCCATAGTTCTCGGGTTGGACGGCCGCACGCGGGACACACCGACTTCGAGCTTCTTCTCTGTCTCCTAAGCAGACGGCGCTGCTGAGAGCGCAGGTGGCGCCCTCCTGCTTCCCGCTCTCCCCATGCACCTGCCCGGCTGCGCCCCCGCCATGGCCGACGGCAGCTTCTCCATCGCCGGCCACCTGCTCCGCAGCCCGGGCGGGAGTACCTCGCGGCTGCACAGCATCGAGGCCATCCTGGGATTTACCAAGGACGACGGGATCCTCGGCTCCTTCCCGACGGAGCCGGGCGCCCGGGCCGCCAAGGAGCGCGACAGGAGACCTGGGGCGCGGGCCGCTTGTCCTAAGGCTGCCGGGGTAGGCGCAGAGCCCTCCCCGCCGCCCGCCCCGGCTCCAGCTCCTGAGTACGAAGGTGAGTACGCAACCAGGCAGCGGCGAGGCTCCCGGGGCCCCAAACTTAGGAACTCTGCAAGAGGAGAGAGATCCTGCCCAAATTTTTATCAAGGCGGCAGGGCGCGGGTTTGGGCGCCGCAAGTGTGGCAGGAGCGTCCAACTTACGATCAGAGAAAACTTAGGGGCTCCTCGCAGCCCTCACCCCTACCCCCAAACCCTAGCCAGGCCATCTCGGAGTCGGAATCCGGTTGCTGGTTTTCAAGGGTGGGTGGGTGAGCCCAGGAATACCCCAGGGAGTGTCTCTGACCTTCTGCGGCCCCGTTGTCCCAGCCCCTCGCTCCTACTGCCCCAAGGAGACAGGGGAGGCGCGGCCAACCCCGGGGCTGCCGGTCGGGCCCACTGCCGGGGACGCTACGCTGTCCGAGGAGGAGCCGCCCAAAAAGAAGCACCGGCGGAACCGCACGACCTTCACCACGTACCAGCTGCACGAGCTGGAACGTGCCTTCGAGAAGTCCCACTACCCCGACGTGTACAGCCGGGAGGAGCTGGCGGGCAAGGTCAACCTACCCGAGGTTCGGGTCCAGGTAAAGAGCCCAGATCGGTCCCCTGGAGGGCCCTACCCCAAGCTGCAGCCAATGCTCCCTTGAATCCCCGCCAGTCCATGCGTTTATGATGACACTTCTCCCGCTGGCCTTCCTCTACTTGGCTGGCCCAGAGCCCTAAAATGGGCGTCACAGATCTTCCATGTGCCTCACCCACAGTCCTTTGGGCACTGGGTTCCAGGTGGCAGTTTTCTTCTCCCTTTTGGGATCTCCCTCTTCTGAGCCAAAGACAGAAATTGGATATGGCAGGCAAGGCAAAGAGGTGACCGCTCATTAGAGGCAGCCAGGTGGGGGGCGGGTGTTTTGGAGGGTGGGGGGAGTGAGTACTGAGTAGAGAGAGAATGTAGGCAGCATTTGAGGGTCACCAGACTGGGGCACCAAATGCCACCCTAGTCACTAGCTGCAGGTACCCTGTTTAAAATGACAACCCTGCCTTCCTGTGAGGAAGGAGCCTGGCGCCTGGCAGCTGAAACTTTCGGTGGATTTATTTCAGGACCTGACTTTTGCTTCTCTTGGTGCACATCCGCCCAAACTTCCTGCTGCAGAGGCCTTTCTTTTTGCTGGAAAAGGGTTTTCCCTTTAATTAAAGCTGAATTATCTTTAATCCCTGATCATTAAAATATTTGAAAGCTTTAAATATTTGCTAGTCATCTGTAAAAAATAATCTGGGAGGCTTTCCAAATTGGGAGAGTTTACAGAGGACTGACCAGGAGTCTCTGGGAACAAACGTCTCTCCTCTGAAAGACAGAGGAGCTGAGATGGGTTTATTGTGTGTGTCCAGTGAATGAGACTTTCAGGAAGTGAGCTGCTCAGATGTTTGGGGGCTTTGGGCCTTGTCTTAAAAGTAAAAGGGGACAAGCCCTTGCCTTTGTCTCTTCTGCTTGATTGCAGGCTTAAAGTGGTGAGTCAACATCATGGTTTTAAAACTAGTTTCCTAATGTGACTCGGGATTAGCCGGCAGGAACAGGACAGTCTCTCCTCATTGGGGGCAATAACGCTGCGATGATTTGATAGAAGGGGCGGACATATTAGCACCTGCTTTTCATGGACGAGGTGGCAAAGGGAGACGGAGAGCGTACAGGGGAACGATGGAGAAAGAGGAGAGACCGACCCTTCCGGGCGCCTGCGGTGCAGCGGCACGGCCCGTGCAGCGGCTGGTTTCCTATCTGAGGCCGCCTCTGACCCACCTTCCTCTCTCCCCCTTGACTTGTTCAGGTCTTTGGCTTGTCCTCTCAGTTGTGAACTTCTTGAGAGCAATGTCTGTGACTTTTCTGTGGCCACGGGGCCAGCACAGTGCCCAGCATATGGCGGGTTCTCAATACGTGACTATGATGTAATCGGACAGGGTAGGGGTGCTAGGCAGGGCCTCCAGCTGCATCGTGAGCAGCAGTATCAGAGCTGACTGTCCCCATCTTTGGCCCTCCTACTCGGGGCACTGGATCTGAAGACCATTGCTGATATTTTGGGGGATGGAGTGAGACATGCAGAGAAATGGGACAGGGGGGTGGGAGCCCTCACCCCGGCCAGTGTTTCTCTTCTCTCTATTTTCAGTAAATTTCCCCTTTCTGGGAAGATCAGGGCCTCAGAGATGTAGATGGATATTTTATGGGAAGGGGGCGAAGATACTTACATTTTTTTGTTCTTCCCCCTTCCACCCCCAAATTGCCGCAGCCTTACACACACTCACCCAGCTCGGCTCAGGTGCTGGGTAGGTCTTTTCTCAGGTCTCCTGGAGGCGTCCCTCCCCACCTTATTGGCTCACAACTGCTTTCTCCCTTCTGAAGTCACAACTCATCTTCCATTTCCCTTCATAAATACAACACCGAAGTCACCAGTTTGGCCCAAGTTCTTTCCAGATACCACCCTGAGCTAGACCAAGCTTCTCTGTGGCTTCCCAGGGTGGTAACTTTGTGGTGAAACCCTGGCTACAGCTCATCTTGCACTTTTATCAAATCAGTGATGGGAGTTTCATCTCTAAGGGACCAGACTCCACTCTGGCATAGACTTGACAGGTAAAGAGAAAAAGACTTGAGCTCACCGAATCCATCTGAGGGCAATGGCAGAACTAATCCCATAAAGTAAAAGTGGATGCGATAAACTTAACCTACAGCAATCATCAAGAGCCATTTATAAGAAATACCTGAAATCCTAAGTAAATGTCAATTGAAACAAAAATGAAAATCTTATCAAAGCAGCAACTTAAATATGCTTGGGATAAAATCAACCCACCCTTTTCTACTAGTTATCACAACCAGTGATTCGTGGAGAGGGCTGTATTTGGGCACCTAATAGAACCGGTTGCAGTACTTAGAGTCTCTGTTTGTACACACGTTTCTAATGCAGACAAAGGGTAGGTAACGCTGAGAAAGCCCGAGGCAGGGGCGGCCCCTGGGAGCTGAGCCACACAGGGAGGAAGACCCTGAGCAGAAGGGTCGGGGGCGCTGCCCAACCGCAGGCCACGGGGACTGGGCGAGACCTGGATTAAGCGGAAGTCCTACGGTCTGATTGCGGGTTAACTTCATTTTGGGGGGAAAGGATGCAACCACAGCTGTGGGTGAGATAAACAGGGACAAGGGTGGGAACCTGTGGAGGACAAGGACGGGACAAAGAGACGCGGAGGCAACAAGAAAGGAGGGGAAAGAGACAAAGAGGAGAAAACAGGAGGAAAGGAAGGGCGATGCGGGTGGGAGAAGCAGGTGGGAAACGGTGGAGCCCCAGTATTCCTTGGGGTGGAGGAGTCGGGCTGGCTGGGCTGCAGCCCCACGGCTGCTGTGCTGCTTCCCGCAGGTGTGGTTCCAGAACCGACGGGCCAAGTGGCGACGGCAGGAGAAGCTGGAGGTGTCTTCCATGAAGCTGCAGGACTCGCCCCTCCTCTCCTTCAGCCGCTCCCCGCCCTCCGCGGCTCTGGCCCCGCTCGGGGCGGGCCCGGGCGGCGGCGGGGGACCGGCGGGGGGCGCCCTGCCCCTGGAGTCGTGGCTTGGGCCATCGCTGCCGGGCGGCGGCGCCACTGCGCTGCAGAGCCTGCCCGGCTTCGGGCCGCCTGCCCAGAGCCTGCCCGCCAGCTACACGCCGCCGCCCTTCCTGAACTCGCCTCCTCTGGGCCCCGGCCTGCAGCCTCTTGCGCCGCCGCCGCCTCCCGCCTACCCCTGCGGGCCGGGCTTCGGGGACAAGTTCCCGCTGGATGAGGCGGACCCGCGCAACAGCAGCATCGCGGCGCTGCGCCTGAAGGCCAAGGAGCACATCCAGGCCATCGGGAAGCCGTGGCAGACCCTCTAGGGGCACCGGGGACCAAATCCGGGCAGACAATCTTCCAGGGAGCCGACCCCGAGCCGCAGGCGGGCGTCCCCTCTCCCTGGGTGCCCCGACTCGGCCTCACTTGCCCTGTGCCGCCGGAAGCTGCGGCCAGGCTTGGGCCTTGGGTGCGCGTCTGCTTCTGACTCACGGGGACGACTGACCCTGGGGTCTGCCGAGGCCCCTTGGCCACCCCAAACCCCCAAGGACCCCCAGCACTGCTGGTGGGGGGGGTGCGGAGCAGCAGCCCGGCCCCTCCAGCCACGTTCCTCCCACCCCGGGGGGGCGCTGGAGCCTCCAGGTTCAATGCGCCCAACGCGCGGGGCCTTCTCGGGCTCTCCCGAGAGGGTGTCGTGGCAACGCCAGATAACAAATGGAAGGAAGGGGAGGCGGGGAAATAGAGTTTGAAGAACTGTTTGTATACGTAGTTTTAAAGATTGTGATGGGGGGGGGGATTAAAGATTTATTTGTTTGGGTTTGACTCCAGTTAAGTGCGTTCAGGACTGCTGTGCGGGAGGAAAGTGTGAGTGTGAATCCTGTGCGGGACGGGGTGGGTCAAGGAAAGCGGAGGAGTACGCGGAGCCCGGCTCGCTCAGGGTGTCCTCCTGGGGGCGCTGTGCGGCGGCGGGTCTGTGTCCGTACTTCGGACGCTGTGTCCTCAATCCGGACGCTGCGAGCGTCCGGAACCAGAAGGGCGCGTGCGCTTGTGTGTTTGGAGTCTAAGGCTCAGCCGCCTGGGCCACCTCGCCACGGTCCGGCTGAGGCTGCTTGCTACTTGGCAAGACGGGCCCAACGGGAAGCGTCTACACCACCTTCCCAGGATGAGAGCTCAATGTCGCGAAGTCCGTAGCGGCCCCGCCTCCCCCTTTCCACGCGCCGGGGCTCTGGCCCCTCTCAGATCATTGTCCAGGTCACCAGGTCGTTGCCAGGCCCTGCTAACCGGGGTTGATGACGTTAGTCCTCCTAATTCTCAGAGCGACTTTTCTGAGCCCCGCGCCTCTCTCTCGCCCCTCCCCCAACTCGCTCCGCACCCGCAACCCAGAGGCTCTGCTTAACCCAGGACGGGTTAGCCGCGGCGCTCCGGGAGTGTGTCCTGAGCGGTCTGTGCCTAACAGGAGGGCACATCCTCGTGGGGCATCGCGGACAGGACCTGCAGTTCCCTGGTCCTGCTCTGGGGTGGGGAAGGAATCCAGAGGTCCCCCGCGGGCTCCAGAACCTCCCGAGGTTCTCTCGGAGTCGCGAGTACAGGAGGGCCGGGGACTTGCAGCCTGAGCAGCGGCAGTATCCGAATTGACCCTGGAAGCTGGGCGACCGCGGGAATAACCCAGATTCTCGCCGCACGGCCTCTGGCCCTCTTGCTGTGAATCAATTGGCTACCGTATGTCAGTCGGTGGTTAGCGTGTTGGTAAAACACACAGAACCCCCTCCACCCCCGTTTCTTCCTCTGAATGAACCCTACCTCTCAGGAGGTGGGAAAGATGGAGTCAGATCACCTGTAAGTCCTTTGTGTGAACTCTCAATGACCCTGCGTGAGGCCACACACACTGAGGGCGCTTCTCCAATTCCTGCAGTATCCCTGCGCTGTGCTTGGGCCCCTAAAACCTGTTTGGGGAAAGGATTCCTGTCCCAGGGCTGGGGATAGAGGAAGCGTCATTGGGAATTCAGGCCTTGCCTCGAGGGTCCTGAGAGGCTCCGGCACAAGCAGGCCTGTGGACGCCCGACCTTCCTCTGGTGCCTGGCACATAGTAGGGTGGCCAGTGAGCATTTATTAAGTTGGCTGTTTCCCCCAAGATTAGAGAGTAACACCCGCGCTTCCACTCACACGGATGGTCCGTGGAGAAACGGATGAAGTGGGCCAAGTGATGTCAGCTCTTGGCAGGAAAAATAGAGAGAGAGATAAACTCATGGTGAACGTGTAAGTACATTTCTTTCCGTTTGGCCTGTCCTTGTTTCTTCTCGAACACTTAGGGATACTTTATTCCGAGGACTCGCAAACCCACTGCCCTCCAGAGGGCGCCACACTTGCTCTGCCCTCTTTCTTCATGTCACAGCCCTAGGCGCCTCTGCCTCTGCCCGTCTCCCTTGCTTCTCCTGGATCGTGCGCACGATTGTTCCTCTCGTGTCTGCCATTTTTTCTTTCTTTTTCATGCATCACTCGCCATTACCTCCCTTTCTTTTACTATTTGCTTTAATCTGAGAGTGGATATTCTAAACCATCTCTTTAGGTATCAACAGTCTGAACCGTCACTGGATTTCAGGGACGAGTCCTTGGAAAAATTATCATTAAAATGCCAATGGCTAAGCATCACTGGAAGCTAGGCGCCAGTGCGCTCCGAAGTAGTTTACATCTATCTGCGGACTCATCGGAGCCTCATCAGGAAAATGCAATTAGCCCTATTTCATAAATGAGGAAACTGAGGCACAGAGAGGTTGCCCCAGTTAACACCCTTGTAAACATCGGAGCTGAAACAACCAGAAGTTGGGGGCGGCCCACCATCACAGCCCGGGCCCAGGAAACATTTGCTGAGTGAGTGCTCCTTATCTCAGGTCCTAAAAACAGCTCATTAGACCACACGGGAATTGAGGTCCGGAGGGTTGAGTGCCAGGTGCGGGTTGAGTGCCTTTCTGGGCCTCCTGGACAGCATTGCACGCTCTCCCCACTCCCACCTCGGGGGTTGCCTAGCAGGGCAGCTCAAGGTCCCGAGATTCTTACCGCAGACTCCAGAAGGGGCGCAGGTGAGGCGAGAAGCCAGTACTTAACCAAAATTGAAGGTGAGGACCTTTTGTAATAAGGCGCATTAGAGCTCCAGGCGGCCCCAAAACACGTCGGGCCGCTACTCAAGCTCACGACTACAGAAAGCACTTTGCAGAGGCGCCGGCCTAGGTGGGGCACAGGCTTCCTAGACTAGACTGTGCCGGTTCTGGTATGGGGCCGGCACACCGGACTCCGAGGGAAAGGGCTGCCCGCGTAAGCCTGCATCACTTGCGAAATGGTTCTTGAGCCTTCCATGATGAGCCTGAGGGCCCACTGAAGGGGAACAGGAACCAGCAGCGAGTGGTCTCACGGGGTTCGGGGAGGAAAGACCGCGAGCTGTTCCGAGCACAGCGACCTAGATGGAGACAGGCCTTGACTCAGGCTGACTTGGGTCCAGTCCCGCTAAGAGGGGGGCCTTGGGCACCCTTCCCCGGAGGACGACGCGGGCTCTGGCCGCCGCAGGTGAGTGAGGACGACAGCTACTTCTCGGCTCCGAGGCACCCCGCTGGGCTGCGCCGAAGCCGTGTTGGTGCTCAGTCACCAGGGGCGTGCGGCGCAGGACGCACCGGATTGTCTGTGTCTGGCGCAGCACTTGCCGGACCCGCAGACTGTCCGCCGCGCTGCGCGGGCCCGGCGGACGCCCAGCCGAGACCCTCCCCCGACCCTGTGGCTCTCAGCTTGCGTGGAACCGGCCACCCCCGCCGCTCGGCCTCCATCACTCTCCCCCGCCGTGGTGGGGACGCTTCAGTTTTCGAGTTTTCCCTGTGGAGGAGCCTTTACTCTTCCTGCCCGCAAGGCGGTCGTGTACGCGGCGCGCACCACGGCTCCCTGCCTCTGGTGGCAATTTTTCTCTGCCACAAAGGCTCTTTTCTCCCGGTCGCCCCTCTCCGGGGCCACGGGATCCAGGGGCGGCCGCAGCCTCGGGGAGCCCTCCTCGCCTGGTGTCCTGGGGCCCTGTGCCGCGGCCCCAAGGCCGGTCCAAGCTGTTCATCTATCACGTGCTTCCCGCTCTCAGAATCCTGCCGGTTTGCGCTCTCAACTCCGCTGCCCCAAGGGCGATCGAGGCTATTGTAGTCGATGGGAAGAGTCAGAGAGACCCCATAGGCCAGCAACTGAAGTGGGGTGGCCCCTCTGTGTTTACTTATTTTGAACATATGGTTAATATTTGGGGAGACTGGACATGTGAAACCAGGGAAAACAATCCCCGCTGGTCCCCCACCACCCGCCCTAGTGAATCTAGAATCCCACGAGGGGAGGGTGGGAATCCCGGTCCTGCTCTCTCCCCGCCAGATTCACTGGTTAATTGAAAGTCTTTGCAGAGACCTTGGGGAGCGGGGAGAGTGGGGACAGCCGGGACTCCGCTTTCCAGAAGCCGCGTCCCTCCTGTGGGCAGAGTCTGTCCCAGCCCCGGCCCCTGGATGCCAGCAGGAAAACTTTTAGGGAAGGTCATAAGAATGAGACGCTGGCACGCCCTCCGATCAGGAAACACGAACTGCGCCTGGCCCGGGCGTTTGTCCTGCGTCCTAAGGCGCCTGGGAAAGGGGAGGCTGCCCCGCGCCAGGAGGGGCGCGCGGTACCCTTCAAGACCCGAGTGGCGCGCTTTGTGCCAGTGTCGACCCTTAATTGGAAACTGTCTCTAATAATCTGGCTTCAGCTTGTTAAGTGTACAATAGTGGGCAGAGTTAACAACTCATTAGTGATTAATTTCTTAACTGTGCCTTAATTGCTCACTGTAAAAGCCCATTGGTGAAACTGGATTAAATCATCTAGAGCCTCGGTCACATCTCACAGCCCTGGAAGACCGGGAGAATGCGGGGTCCCCCCACCTTCGCGGGTCGGCTTCTTAAATTAAGGTCAAGAGCAGCAGCGCCTGGCAGCCTGCAAATGGGAAATCTGTGGTCCAGTCTCAGCTGTGACATTGCATGATCCTGTGACCTTAAATAAGCTCCCCTGCAAAGCTGGATCTCCAAGATCTCCCCTCTTCCCTCATCAACCCATCATAGATGCCTCCGATGTCCAACACCTCATTTTAGAAGCTCCTTTCCTCTGCTCTGTACTTGGTGTGAGCACGCTCCTTTGTTTATCTTAGAAGGTTCTGAATGAATTGTATACAAGGCTGCTTCCCTGCCAAAAGTTGTCTGGTGAAGGCTCTTTCCAGTGTTAATAGTACCTGGGTTCTGCCATTTCCCCATTTGTATTTTTTTTAAACAGCCCATAGTTTTTTTCACCTTCTTAGTTGTCCTGTGATCTTTATGCATCTGGAGAGCTGCAAGGCATGGTGGGTGTGGAGGGACAGGCCAATCCGAGTCTCCGCCTTCAAGGAGCATGTCCCAGGAGTGTAACCAAGAAGGTGACTGTATGTTTTCGGATTTCTTTACTCAAGCTCTCCCTTCTACCTGGAATATCTTCCCCCACAACAAGTACGATAAGGTGAGTGCAACTGAAGTTACCCAAACTTACAAGATGCAGCTAAAGCGGTGCTTAGAGGGAATTTTATAGCTTTAATGCCTATATTAAAAAAGAAGAAATCTCAAATCAGTAACCTAACCTTCCACCATAAGACACTAGAAAAAAAGATCAAAGAATCTAACTAAACCTGAAATGAGCAGAAGGAAGGAAATGGGAAAGATGGGAGTGGAAATTAATGAAATGGAGACTAGAAAAACAATAGAGAAAATC